CACCAGGCTAACCCATCCCCCTACCTCCCTCCCCTCTAGAACCCTCAGTTTGTTTCTCAGAGTCCATAGTCTCTCATGGTTCATCTCCCCCTCTGATTTCCCCTCTTCATTTTTCCCTTCCTACTATCTTCTTCTTTTTTTTAAACATATAATGTATTATTTGTTTCAGAGGTACAGGTCTGTGATTCAATAGTCTTGCACAATTCACAGCGCTCACCATAGCATATACCCTCGCCAGTGTCTATCACCCAGCCACCCCATGCCTCTATTTTAAACAGACTGTTTTCCCTCTGACATCTAGGCATACCTTACATCAGAGGTGTCTTAGCATGTAATTGACAGCTTTTTTTTAAAGAGATTTAATATAAATGATACCTTAAATCACTGTCTTTTAAGAAAGATTGGCTCTCTCTGTCTTCCTCCTTTACTTTTTTTCTCCCTTCAAACATTTTAATTTTATTATTTTGTATTGATATATAATTGACATATAACCTAATGTAAGTATAGTGTGTGCAGCATGTTAATTTGATACATGTGTATATTGCAATATGATTACCGCTGTAGCATTAGCTAACACCTCTATCACATCACATAATCATTATTTCATTTTGTGGTGAGAACAGTTGAGATCATTTTTCTTCTCTTCTGCTTTTCTGTTTCTCTTTAAAGGACTATGTGAGCTCAGAGGGGACAGGATGGGCTGCATACAAGTCCTTATTCATTAGAGTCCTCATGAGCCCATACACCCAGTGCCCTCTTTGTTACAGCAGGGTGACCCTGGATTTTTTTTTTCCTAATCTTTCAGCATTACCTCTATGCAGAGTTTTGGTTTAGTGAGCATGTGTCCTGTTGGGCGTTGGTCTTTCTGGGCATCCTTGATGGCTAGCCACCCTGTTCTTTTCTCTCAGGGCACTGACAGCTGGACTCAGAGCCAGATGATGCTGTGAGTGGCATGGTCACTTTCTTTTCCCTGGCTTAGGGCTGAGCTCCTCCAGGCTCGGCAGTGGGGGTCAGTGCTACAGGGCAAGCTGAGCAGGAAGCTGCACTGAGCTGGGTTCAGAGGCTCTGCTTCCAGAGTCAGGAGCTGGGGTGCAACCAAGCAGTGCATGAGCTCCAGGGGGATGGAGAACAGGAAGAAATCTAATCGCAGACCCCAGGTTCACTTCTGCGTGCCTGTGCCTTCACTGATTTCTGAAAGCACAGCTTGCAGTTAATCCATAAGCATTGAACCCTGGATCCTGCACCCATGGCCACCCATGGTTTTCTCTCAAGCCATGATGCTGGCCTTCCTGCTAAGGCAAGTGCTAATGTAAGGTGTTGGGGCAACACCTCATTCACCCTAGCGTCCAGGCAAACCACACCTTCATGAAGTTTCTCTCTGTCTAGTTTACCTCCAGGCATGTGATTGGACCATGCATTCTGCTGGGGATACACCAACCTTCCTTTCTGCCTGCTGGAATTATGCCCATCTTTAGAGCCTGTCCAGTTGCCCTTTCTTTCTGACCATTCCACGAAGGATATTAGGATCTGCACCCTGAATAATTGGGCTAAATATCCCTCCTCTCCATGGTCACTTTTCAGTGACAAGGCCTCATTGCCCTTTGTTGCCCAATCAGAGTTCCCACACCAATTGTCTGTTCTTTGCTGGCTGGACAAGGACCCAGGCAGCTGGAGAGAGGAGCTGTTGAACAAAATGAAGTGGCCACATGCCTGAGTCGTCAAAAAGGATCTTAAGTACATAAACAGTATATATATTCAAACTGTTAAATACAGAAAGTTTCACATGCTCACCAGAACAGAAGGAGGAGTGAACCGAGTCCTGTGGACGCACCCCAGCTCCCAGGGTTATCTGTGTGTGCCGGCTGCAAGGCTGTATTATCACACGGCCTCATGCTTGCTATCCCCTGGCTCCTGTTGTACATCACTGCACGGTGCACCTAGTGCTGGGCCCCGAGACAAGCAGCTGGTACTGTTACCTCCCGTGTCATGGCTGGTTTGGGGCCACTCAGGTTTCAGTCTCAGTTTTTAAGAATAGAGCCCTTCTGCAAACAAACCTTATCTCCAGCTCTAATGGCCGAAACAGATAAGTGGTATTAGCGTACAATTATTACAGCAGTTTACTTTTATATCATTGATGTATAAAATAGCAAAGAACTCTAAGTCTGCCAAAATGAATATTAAGATTTGCATGTTGATAAGGATAACAGTGTTACAGTTCTGTTTATCTCAATATTCTGTTTTGGTTGAACTGTATTTAGAAATCAGTGAGTCGCACAGGTAAACTGTTGCTAATGGAAACCGATTTTTATCTTGCTTTTACTCATTTGTCTTGTGATCTCAAGAGTCTCTTCAATTAAATTGATCCAAGTGTGTGGAGGAAGAGCTGGGAGGAATTCTTTTTTTTTTTTTTTTTCCCTTCCAGAATTAAGTCACTGATCTAACAGATGCTCACAGTCTTTGTTATAAATGTAAAAATCAGACAAGAAGAAACCCAAGCTTAAAATAAGCAAAACCATGCATCCTGTGTCATGTGTCACAAGACAGTTTCAGTTGTTGCAGTGGTGAGATCAGGTGCTATGAGGTGGGGTCCAGCGTCTATGCTGGAATTGTAGGCTCAAATGTGGATTTTTAAAAAAAGCAGTGCAAAACTGAAACTTTACTGGGTGACTCATTTACAAGAGGTTCAAAGATATGCACAGGCATGGCAAGAGAAGTTTTAGCCTAACTTTCAGCCAAAAAAGGAGTTAAATGGGCCACATGTAGTAATCCATTGGTCATCTGGTCTGAAGAGGTAGAATTTTCCAAAAGTCATTTGAGTGTGTTTGGACTTTTATTAGCCTTTTAGACTACAAGGAAAAGAGAATATCGGAATCCACAGGTGCAGAAACCCCAGAGCACACCCAGAGAATCTCAGGGTTCCAGAGAACCTGGTTTGAAAATTGTGGTTTGATCTAGAGCGATTTTGTGAAGGTCCACACGTTCAGCTGTTTTGTGCTCAGTCACTCTTTATCATGTGATTCATGGAGAAAGTTGGGTACAGACCACAATCAAGCAAAGAATATTTGCATCTTGACCCTGTCTCCTCCTCTCTCTGCCTGTGCGTGCTTGCAAGTAAGGAGGTAGGAGTGTCCTTCATCTCAAAGGATTATCCGTTTCTGGTCGCTTAGTCTCTCTCCCCTCCTTCTTCCTCTGCACTTCATCACGTTTTTGTTTCGTAGTCAAACCCTGGCTTTTTTGTATAGGTTTTCTTCCCCCCGAAGTGTCTGGTTGATATTTTTTCTTTTTTATTACAGTAATTTTTAAAAATGCGTCCTTGATAGAATGCATGGTGTTTTCCAGCTTATTTCTCTTCTCTCTTGCTCTGAATCTACTTCGCTCTCCTCAGAGACTCCTCATCTCTTGCTATAATTTGGGAACGTCCCCCACCCCCGCCTTTTCTAGGCCCACTGCACAGCTCATCATGAAAATACATTTTCTTGATCCCCAGGTTTAGTCCAAGAGTTTATTTCTTCTTTTTTCAGTATTCACCCTAATTTTCCTAGAGCTCATCCTCAAATCCATGACCGAGAAAATATACGTGGGACACAAGCCCTCTGAGCCCCTAACGTTTGTGAAAGTGCCTCACTTGGCCTTCCTGCTTGACTAGTTTCTTTCAGTTCTAGCATGTCTCTGTGTGATTTCTTGGGTGATTATCTCCCGCCCTTTTGTCTCTTCAGCATCTGTCCAGTGAGTTCCTCTGGTCTTGTACTCTGGGGGCTTTCCTCATTTCTGTCCTACATTTTGTCTCTGATTCTTCTCAGCCCCAAACCTCCCACCCATTTATAAAAATTTATTTCATAAATCATATTTTAACTTTCATATTGCTCTTTGTATTACTAGATGCAATGTCCTCTTGAATTTCTGTGAGGATATTACTTTTTTAAGGAGCAATTTTTTAGTCCTTTCGTTGACAGCATCTTCTTGGATGGGAAAGAGCCTTTGTTGTGGTTTCCGTGGACTGGAACTGGCAAGGCAGGGTGAGCAGGGTTAGGATTGGTTAGTTTGAAGAATTTCAGTGGGCTCTGGGTCATAGGGGCTGTCCCTAGTTACTTGGTACCTGGCCCTCAGGTTATTAGGGCAGAGGGATAGAGGGCTGGAGTGTGAAACCCTGATAAAGGAGGTGGCTGGGGTATGGGCTCTGGATTGAGAGATGCACTGGTAAGCATGTTGTTTCCTGTCTCTAGGAACTGGCTAACCTGGGAGTGGAGTGGGGACAGTTCCTCCAGGGTCCGCAAAGCATCAGAATACAGAAGATAAAAGACATGGATAATAAGGGCTGTTGGCTTTAGTTGTTGTTCTTTTTTCCTGTTTTGTGTCTTCTACCCTCTTTGTTCAAGTTGGTAACTCCTGGCTGTGGGAGGTTCTGAACTTGGGCAGGGAGGGGGCTGGGGTGCACCTGTCTAAAACCTGTACCTAACTCTGCTCTCTTCACCTGCCTCCTTCCTGTCATTGCTAATCATGGAGCCCAGGATGCCTCTGGGCTCAGCTGGTGCCCCGCCACCTCCTGTGCTTGCAGTTCAGGCACTCAAGATATATTGGTTAAGCACCAACCAAGCATTAGGTGCATTCAGGAAGCTGGAACTGGAGCTTTGGAGCTGGTGGGTCAAAATCCCTGATCAGTGACAGAGTGCTTTACCCACTCTTTATCTCCTACAGATAGAAATGTCTCATCAGCTGATGTCCTATGAAATTGTCTTCAGGTTTAACTTTTGCTAAGAAAACTTTGTTTTATGGGCATATGAAAATCATAGTGCATATGAAATGGGGGTGGGTGGACATTGGCCACTAGCAGCCTGCGCTCTGAGATCTCCTAGGCCAGTTGCAAATGGTGTCGGCATGACCCGAGCACAAAGAGTGGCACTTCCCAAAGCTATTCTTGCTGCAGTCAGGACAGACCTAAGGGCCCCGGGAAATCTACCACCTGGCAGTGCTGACTCATGAAATCCTTCTCATGTTTCTAGTGCTGATGAGCGATTCGATGCCACATTCCACACCAACGTGTTAGTTAATTCTTCTGGGCATTGCCAGTACCTGCCTCCAGGTAAGACCCACTTCTTTGTCCTATAGTTAGACAATTTAAGCGAGTTCAGTGTGCCAGACCAATGGTGCTCGCACGCATGTGGGGCATCCGTTGCCTCATTCACACCCAACGCCTCCTGCTTTCTTCCCCTCTGTGCTTGCAAATATTTCCTGAACATGACAATACCATCTTCCTCTTTTTTGTCTTGGAGTCATGGCTCATGTGTCATTGTCCTTATTGTGTGTCAAGTGTTCTTTAAAGTTAATCCACAGCTAAAGCAAGTCTCCCTCCTCAGGTCACTTCCAGTTCTCCTTACAGCCTGCAGGCAACCCCCCAGCCTTTCCCTCCTCCATGTCAGCTGGCCATTTCCTCTCCTGCCAGACTGCGTGTCTTGGCAGGGGCTGCTCTCCAGGTGCTGGGGGCGAGATGGTGGACTTGCTGGCTTCTTGAGGATGTGCATGAAGGAGCACTTGCGTGTTAAATATAAGAGCAAGTGGTTTCAAAGTGGGGCTCATTAGTGCCTTATTCCTGACTGAGCTTCTCTCCTTTGCAACCAGCTGATGGTTAACTGCTTCTTGGGATTGATTTTTTTTTTCCCACCAGCCCCTCATTTCTCTGAATTCACTGGGCCCTGGGCTGCTCACTGAATAATACAGAGCATAGGGAACCTGCATTTAAATGCTTTGAGGCAGATATTAACAGAGTTTTAAAAATCTTTAGGATGATTTTTTCACATGTTCTTTTCCAAGATTATCTCCCCCACTGCAACTGTTTAACTTCCTGGTCCCAGGCAGTCTGCAGCCAACTCCCACCTCAACACCAACATAAACACACACACACCCCACACCATATCCACATACCTACCACTCCCCCCTGACACACACATTACACACCATACACACACATTATACATCACACACACCCCCAACATATACACCCCACATCCATACCTCCCCCCCCACAAATCCACACACATTCACACACCAACCACATCCCCCACATACATATTCTACACACCACACACACACACCCCACACCATATACACACACCTGCTATCCTCCACACACACCACATATACACCCCACATGCATACCTCCTGCACACATTCACACACCAACCACAACCCCTGCATACACACACTACACACCACACATACCCCCCCACACACATACACACTGCCTTTCTGCTGCAGTGAACCCCAGTCTCACATCTTCATTTCACAGCACACAGCAAAACTGGCTTTGTCTTCTTAGTTGTTACTTACACATTCTTCCTCATTAGCAGATGAGAAGCGTCCCGTGGGCAGATTCTGTGTTTACACACCTTAGAACCACCACTAATCAACCAGGTGCCTGGCCCACCTGTTCATAAATGAATGCATGAGTGATTAAACCCATCAAAGGCAGATACCTCCCAATAATGCTTGTATAGACTGAAGAACCAGAGATTTTCAGGTTTTCCATCTGAAAACTCGGGCTTCCTTGCTCCTTCCCTGGTTCCTTCACCCCTCCCCCAGCCCAAGCATGTTTTCTGCCTAACAGCAGGCCCCTGGGGGATGGAAGCTACGGGATGAGGCTCCCATCACACACCCATACATTCTTTTTCCCCAGCCTGTGAGTTGCAGTTTCTATTATGAGGGATATTTTAGAAAATGATCTCCAGCAGTCATCGGTATACAAGAATATGGTGCTGCAGATTGTTTTGAGGGCTGAGGCTATTTTAGCTACAAGAAGCGGCCTGAGCCCCAAGCCGCCTGTGTGTAGCAGCCCCCTCTGGGGCTTCTTGCGTTTGTCCCAGCCTTCATGGCCCCAGGAGCCTGGGAAGGACAGGGTGTGTTGTGCTGTGAGTGTGGGAGTCTCCCCTACATTGGCAGGAGCCCTATGGAGCTCTCTGGCCTGGGGGAGCAAGCCTGTGCCCTGGGGTCATGGAAAACTGATCTGGGAAGCTGTTCTGTTCAAGCAACCAAGTACAGGCAAAAAAAAAAAAATGTTTTGGGTGCAGGATTTGAAATAGAGACTTGGTTATGAAATTATGTTTCTATTTCATATTTTTATTTTTAACAGGTTTATTGTATAATTTACATATCATACAGTTCACCCATTTTAAGTACACGATTCAGTGATTTTTAGTAAATTCACAGTTGTACAACCATTACCAAAATCTAGGGTTAGAACATTTTTTATCACCCCGAAAGGATCCCTTTTGCCGTTCTGCAGTTAATCCCCACCCTTACTGCCAGCCCCGGGCCACTGCTGATCTGCTTTCCATCTCTAGAGACTTTCTTTCTCTGGCTATTTCATGGAAATGGAATAATTCAGTTATAGAGTTACATTTTCCACAATTAGTGTGGGTTTTGGGAGATCTCTCCCATTAATGGGAGGGCAGCATCCATGTATTCTTATGAACATTGGACATGGTACTTAAAGGAACTTGAGAGGACAGGACATTTTTTTATCCTTTCCCAGCTTGGTTATGGGGTGAGGGTTCGTGTTTGCAAGGCTGCTGAGTCCCTTCCTCCATTCATTTTTTTTTTTTAATTTAGTAGCAAAAATATATGGAGCTCTGACCCTGTCCCCAGGAACAGAGTGCACCCTTAGCTCTTTGTGCCTTCCACTGCCTTCAAGCCTTTTTCTGGGCAGGGAAGAGCACAGGGGCATAAATTGCTGGAGGGGGCTTATCTGGTCTTCTCTCCATAACCTGCCAGAAATTCACCTCCAACTTGTCTTAGGGGGAAGTCACTCTTTTCAGTGGAAACTCCCACTTGTGCCCAAGCACTGTCTTCAACTTAAACCTAGCAGTCTTTGTTCTTAATCTAAAATCTAAACTAGTTAAAATTATCCTCCACATATATATCTAGATAACCAAGTATTTTTCTCAACTTTTTTAAAGACTGTATTTATTCATTTGATAGAGAGCTTGAGCCGGGGATGTGAAGGGGCAGAGGGAGAAGGAGAAGCAAACTCACTGCTGAGTGGGGAGCCTGACTCGGGGCTCGATCCAAGGACCCTGGGGATCATGACTTGAGCTGAAGGCAGATGCTTAACTGACTGAGCCACCCAGGTGCCCCAGTATTTTTTTTTCTCAATTTTTAACCTAAGGAAATGCCCACCCTGCTCCTCACCAGACACACACACACACACACACACACACACACACACACACACACACACACATCCCTTTTATATTCTGCTTCTAAACCGTTCATCATTTTTATCAGTTTTTCTGGCATTGTTTTGTACATTCTTTACTTTTCTCCTATTAGAGTTTGAAGATGCATAGACATGGTAGGAGCAAGTTTACAGAACTTCTAATTCTTTGCCCAGAAATCCTTAAGAATTGTCTTCAACAGAGCATGATGGTGTTGTCTGTGAATTTTAAAAAGACAGTGGAGCTTCAGCTGAGCTTCCTTTCTAGAGATTTTTCAAAAAAAAAAAAAAGCTTATTCTGGACAGGTCTAGCTGTAGTTTGGAGGAGGAGGAGGGGGTGAAGACCTCTCTGGTTGCACTCAAGTCTAGAGACCCAGGAGCCTACGTCTCCACTTCTTGAAGGGAACACAGGTGGGCCAGAACAATGGGTGCATGAGACACTGATCAAAAAGACATGCTGAACATCAAAAATAATGTATCATTTAACTCACCAACCCTTTCCAGGAAGAAGAGTCACTGCATATTGTGAACAGCATACGAGGTTAGAGACCCAAGGGATAGATAGCTCTGTGTTTATTTATTTATTTAGTTATGATTATTTCAATTTTTTTCCATCTTTATTGAAGTATGGTTGATAAATGAAAATGTAATGAGGTGTACAACATGATGACTTAATATACACATACATTGTAAAATGACTTCCACACTCAAGTTAACACATCCATCACCTTACATGGTTGGGTTTTGTTTTGCTTTCTGTGGGAATGTTTAAGATCTACTCTCTTAGCAAATTTCAAGTATACAGTATTATTAACTAGAGTCACCATGCTGTACATTAGATCCTCTGAACTTACTGCCCTTGTAAATGAAAGTTCGTACCCCTGGACAGTCCATTTCCCCACCTCCCCCAGCCCCTGGCAACTCACTGTTCCTATGAGTTCAGCTTTTTTTTTTTTTTTTCAAAATCCACATGTAAGTGAGATCATACAGTATTTTTTTGTCTGGCTTATTTCAGTTAGCATAATGCTCTCCAGGTTCATCCATATTATTGCAAATGGCAGGATTTCCATCTTTCCTAAGGCTGAATAGTATTCCATTGTGTGTGTATGTGTTTGCGTGTGTGTATGATTTGATCATCTTTTTCTTTTTTCTTTCATCCTTCGATGGATAGTTAGCTTGTTTCCATTCTTCAGCTATTGCAAATAATGTTGCCGTGAACATGATGAATATGGGGGTGTAGATATCTCTTCCAGATAATGATTTTGTTTCCTTTGGATATATACCCAAAAGTGGGGTCACTGGATCATATAGTAGTTCTATTTTTAATATTTTTAGGAATCTCCATACTGTTTTCATAATGACAGCACCAGTTTGCTTTCCCACCAGCAATGTGAGACTGCTGTGTATTTAAAGCCCAGCTTGGTCCCCTTCCATTTCGGTTTTCTGACTGTTTTTTTGCCCATATAGGCATATTCAAGAGCTCCTGCTACATTGACGTGCGCTGGTTCCCCTTTGATGTGCAGCAGTGCAAACTGAAGTTTGGGTCCTGGTCTTACGGAGGGTGGTCCTTGGATCTACAGATGCAAGAGGCAGATATCAGCGGCTATATCCCAAACGGAGAATGGGACCTTGTGGGTAAGCCCAGCAAAGATATGAGGCTACCAGCCTCGTAGAAAGCCACTTTTTATTCCTGTGCTGGCTTTGAAAGTTTGGGACTTGCCACTCTGCTTTTCAGTGTGAGCATTTATTGAACCCTGCAGCAATCTCTATAATTTACTGAGAGCTATACAGTAAGAAATAAAAAACAATTAGAAAATCCAACACTTTCCAAGAATACGTGCAGCTATTTAAACAAGTCAGTGCTATAGTATAGGCATCCCTATATTATTCAAATCTGCTCCATTCCTAAAATCAGGTTGGATAGCAAATTGCAGTTCATGAGAACCTATATTTGATGATTTTAAATAGAAAAACAATAATTACATTTATAATGTTGTAGAGCTCATAATGTATTATTTATAATCATGGTGTCTTAGTCCCTTCAGGCTGCTAAAACAGAATGCCATAGACTGGGTCTCTTATAAACAGCAGAAGTTTATTTATCACAGTTCTGGAGGCTGGGAAGTCCAAGATCAAGTCCACGATCAAGGCAGATCCAGTGTCTCCTGAGGGCCTGCTTCCTGGTTCATAGCTGGCCGTATTCTTACATCGCAGAGACTAAGGAGTTCTCTGGGCCTCTTTTGTAAGGGCAATAATCCCATTCCAAAGGTCCCTTCTCCAGATGTCATCACTGTGGGCATTAGCGTTTCAACATAGGAATATTGAGAGGGACACAAACATTTACCATATACACATCTAGTTTCAATCCATTAAAAAAATTCTCCCAGTTTGTTCCATTATCACTAAGATATTCCTGCACAACTCTAACATACCAGAGTTTATGCAAACACTGATGACCCAGTTTTTTTTTTGTTTTTTTAGCACTTAGCAAACTCCATGGTTATTTGTATGATATACTCATTAAAATAAACAAGCGGGGTAATTTTATTCAGACACTGTTCCTTTCCCCTGTTGCTCATGGAGGAATCCCAGGCAAGCGGAGTGAGAAGTTCTATGAGTGCTGCAAAGAGCCCTACCCAGACGTCACCTTCACAGTGACCATTCGCCGCAGGACCCTCTACTATGGCCTCAATCTGCTCATCCCCTGTGTGCTCATCTCTGCGCTGGCCCTCCTCGTCTTCTTGCTCCCTGCAGATTCAGGAGAGAAAATTTCCCTGGGTAAGTGTCCTGATCTTGGGCAGGAGTCTGAGACAGGATGGGAGGGCCTTGCCTTGAGGTCAGCTCTGTAGGGATCCCTGTGGACGGTGCAGGACATGTCACGGCTCTGGGTGCAGAGATGTTGCAGAGCCTGCTTGGTGCATCACACACTGACCTCCCAGCCCAGGGCATCTCCCCAACACCACAGGCTCCTGAGTTAGGCTTCATGCTAGATGCCCAATGCCCTCCTGAAAATCTGTAATATCCTCTGCTCCTCCACAGAAGATAGGAATGCCCAGGAAGAGACCACTGGGTTCTGGAAAGTAAGGGGCCTTACTTTCTCTTCTCCTGCCACCCCATCCTGTTCCTTGGGGGCAACTGGCCAGCATTTGTTATGGACAGGAAACAGTTTAGTTAGTTTAGTATCAGTTTGCATCTGTATATTGCGGTACACAGGGTAATTCCTTAGGATCATCCAACAGGAAGATAAGGATAAGACTTAGAATGGTGAAATGAATTTCTCAACATCTTAAAGAGTTATTAAAGGTCATATTTAGTACATGTAGAAATCGTCCTTAAACCTCTATCTTCTGACAGCAAGGCTTAGGCACGTTAAGTGACTTATCCACGGTCACACAGGTAGTAGGTAGCAAAGTCAAGACCAAAAGTCAGGTCTTAAGATTGCATGTTTTTTTCCCCTGCTATATGTAACTACCTCTCAATCCTAATGTAATTAAGAAAATGAGAGATACTTGTGTTAGGTTCAGTAATTCATTTTGTATTGTTGTTCTACGTTCTGGCTCCTAAGCTTACCTCCATCTGGGACTCTGGCAAATGCTGTGAACAGCCCCCAGAAAAATGGCCATGCCCCTACCTACAGAGAACCCTGCACTGGGTTTCAGGATGTCACTGCCCCTTCCCCTGCACCTCCCGAGCTCTTTGAATCTCCGATAAGGCACAGTTAGTGGACTTGAGGCCTTATCACCTCTTCTGTCTCAGGCACTGCTGTGTTTATGTTTCAGGGATAACGGTTTTACTCTCTCTTACTGTCTTCATGTTGCTGGTGGCTGAGATCATGCCTGCGACATCCGACTCGGTGCCCCTGATAGGTAAGCAAGTGTCAGGCCTCTCTTGAAGACACGGGCTTAGAGAGGGCCCTGGAGAGCCACATGGCCCCAGGAGGAGTGACTTTCTGTACCTGTTCGAGTGGCCCATGGCCTCTCCTCATCTGGGCACACGTAGGGGGAGTGTGGGGAGTCGAGCTTTGTGGTTTGGCTTGAAGTTGCAGAAACGCACCCTTCCTCCCACCGTTCTCCCCCTCATACTTGTTACGCAGCCAGAGATTGTACCATCAGAGATTTGTTACTTTAGCTTTGAGTCATTGTTCTTCCACAAATCTTTTGTCAAAATGGGAGGAGCTCACATTTTAACACTTGGCCATCGTTTCCCGAGATACCTCGACGTCTCTGGATAAAATTAAAGCTTGTGAGGAAATGTAAACAGGACAAATATGTTTTAGCCAAGACAGATATAAGGCATGACCTTCTGCCCAAGGCAGGATGACAGAAACAGGAGAGAACATCCCTTGTGCCTGTGCGCCTCCCTGGATTGGAACAAGCAGGAGTGTGCACAGGGGTGCTCGGCAGTCTAGCGGTCAGGATCTGGTACTCTCGCCACCACAGCCAGGGCTCTGTTACTGGTCAGGGAACCAGAGCCCCAGGCCAGTTTTGGGAATGGAAAGCAAACAGTCTGATAGTAGATATTTGGTTTAACATGAGAATCACTCCTCCGGTTTGGTGATGGAGTTCAGAAAGAGGAATGGAGTCTATGATTATTCCTGTTGGCCCAGGCCACTGGAGGGCCACCCTGTGTAGTTAACAAGGGAGGATAGGAGTAGGGGAGCCTATTTCTCTTACACAGATACTCCCAAAGCTCTTCTTTGTTCCCTTAATGTGTCATATTTTGGCCAGAGAGACAGTATTGGTATGAAAAGCCTTTGTGGGTGTTCCTAGTTCTCTCACTACCATGCAGAGGGCAAGGAACCATGTTTCACCTTGACGGTCTGACCCACTCTTCCTACCTTCCAGCACAATGCTTTCAGTAGAGCCTTGCAACAGGAAGCACCCTCTGTGGGGCAATGGGCAGCCCTGCCTTGACTGATGGACTGGTGGGGAAAAGGCATGGTTGATGCATAGCCCATGTCTAGAAAGATGGGATGCTGTTGGCTTCTGACCTCTGTTGTTGAGATTTCAGCTGTGGGATCCTCTGACCCTGGATACCTCCACAGGTCATTGTCTTGGTCGGCTAGGGCTGCTACAGTAAAATTCCACAGACCGGGTGCCTACAGAACAGAAAAGTATTTGCTTAGAGTTCTGGAGGTTGGAAGTCAAGACCAAGGTGCTGGCAGGTTTGATATCTACTGAGGCCTCTCTGTCTGCCTTGTGGATGACCACCCTCTTGCTGTGCCCTCACATGGTCTTTCCTGTCTGGGTGCATCCCAGGTACCCCCTTGTGTGTGCAAAGTTCCCCTCTTATAAGGACACCAGTCAGATTGGGGCATGTCCCACTCTAAGGACCCCATTTTAACTTAAGCCCCTCTCTTTAAAGGCCCTGTCTTCAAATACAGTCCTATTCTGAGATACCAGGGGCTAGAGCTTCAACATCTAAATTTTAGGAGGCCACAACTCAGCCCATAGCAGTCACAGTTTTGTTCACCTTCCTTCCCCTTCTTAGAGGTCCCTGGTGCTAACTTGAAGTCTCAAACGTCCATCTCTGGAAGCTTCTCACAGTGGGGCAGTGAGTTCTTTCCTGCCTGGAGAGAAGGAGGTGTTCTTAACCAGGTGTGTGGCCATGCACTTAGCCTCTGCACCAGGATGTTCTCTGCTTAGAGATCAGCCCCCTTGAGCTGAAAGCCACACCAAAGGTTTAATAACTGGAGTTGCCAATCAAGGAATGTCTTCCCTTTGCCAGGCTTTCTTCTAGATTCTTGGCTCATATACTTGCTAATTCCTGCACCAACCCTGCAAAAGAAGGCATTGCCATCCCTGTTATACTTGTGAAGAACCTGAGGCCCAGGCAGGCTGAGTAGCCTATCTAAACTCATAGATGTCTGAACTCATGGACAGGGGCAGTGGGTTAGGGGAGAGCTGTTTCGGATGCTCCATGCTTCTTCTCACCTGGGCAAGGGTGGAGAAATTCATCCTTGCCCATCGGAGCTGAAGCTGATCTTAGCCGGGAAAGTCAATGTCTTTCCCGTCTTCCTCAGACAACTGGCACCTCCTCCTATCTCTCATTAGATGGAAGCAGACTCATCTTCCACACTAATGCTAGGTACCCCACCAGTGATGCCAGATTTGCCCACCCCAGCATGTCCCTGGCCTGCAGTTATCATGGTGGGGACCAGACCCTCGCTACCCCAGTGTTCTCAGTTCCCGTAACAGTCCACAGCCTTTCTCCTGAGAACAACCGAATCAGCATCCTGTGAGGCACTGTTAACCCTCACTGGAGGAAGAGGCCGATGGAGTTCACAGGAGTGCAGGCAGCCTGGCCAGGCAGCTTGCGTGGATGGGAAAGCAGATGTCCATGCTCTGCGCTGACCTCTGCCTGCCGGGAATGTGGGCTGGAGGCGGGGGGGCGGTGCAGGTCTGCTGGCCTGGAGACAGCCCTGCCCTGCTCTAGGCTTCGCCACCTGCTTGCAGGTGATCAGAGAGCGCCGTCTGGGTCTGCCTGCCATGCTGCGATGCTTGTGTTGTGGAGGGCCCGGGGCTCACCCTGCGTCTCTTGTCTCTGCAGCCCAGTACTTTGCCAGCACCATGATCATCGTGGGCCTCTCTGTGGTCGTGACGGTGATTGTGCTGCAGTACCACCACCACGACCCCGACGGCGGCAAGATGCCCAAGTGGGTGCGTTCCTCCTGCCCTTCACCATGGGGAGTCTGGGGCCTTCGCCAGGGGTGACTCCACAGATGAATTATCTATGTTAAAAGTCCTAAAAACAGCTAGTGTTCCTCAACACAGAGCCATGTTTCTCATACCTCCTCACCTGTCTGCACTATTGCATTATCTCTGGACCACTACAGTGAGCATGCTCGCAGGGTCCCATGGCACTGTTCCTGCAATCTGACATTCCAGAACACGGCCCACACACTGACCACTCTGTACATTTTGCTACCAGAGTATTTCTAAAACTGCTTTTTGTACGTACTCTATGGAGAACAGTACAGTGGTTGGAAGCAACGGATGAGATAAGCACCCAGCCATGTGGTTGCATCTTCCAAACAGAATGAGGAGCCAAAATGGTGAGAGAGAGTGAGCCATGTAATAATTCGTGTAGGCAATACATGTAGGAATGTAATCTTACCACAGGCCTCTAAAATACAGGTCAGTAGTTAGCAGTGGGGCAGGGGGCTAGGATAAAAGCAAAAGGATGAAAGATACACAATGTAACAGCCTGTTGTGTCAGCCCCGGGGCACACCACCCCTTCCCAGCACCTGCTTAGCCCCGTGCACTGGGACGTGGGCAGATGCTTACCCATGCTGTGCCCTTCGGAGTCCAGGATCTGAAGCTGTGTGCCCAGCCTCACCTAACACTCAGGAAATCTTGATGAGGGCCAAATTTTTTCTCATCTGTGTGAGAACAGCGTGACAACATCCAAGGCCAGGGGAGGGATTGAGTCTTCCTCGGGCCCTGCAAACCTTCCAGTGTTCTTGTCCCAAGAGCATGGCCTACGGACAGCAGGTACTAAAGGAGCCCTCTCCTGTCAAAACAAGCCTGTTTTCTTTGGAGACCTGTAACTCTGCATCCAAGTTCAGAAGGGAGTCTAAGACTCCCCAACATGCTAAATACAGGTGCAAGAAGTAGGGTGCTTTTTGTTAACCTCCGGGAAGAGAGAGTTCCCAGGCCTTCTAAAGATATTCATTGTGCAATAATTTACAGTTACCCAAAAGTGAACTTAGGAAAGACCAATTTAAAAAAAAAAATTGACTTTACCAAGTTACTGTGTTCTCTTGGGTTCTTTTCCACTGCAAATCTGTACACTAATAATGACTTTCTCTCATAGCAATGGAGTGAGCTCCCAGAAGTGGTGCTGTCCCCCACACATTCACGTCACTGTGGTCCCTGGGCTGTTTTGAGAAGGTCCCCTCATTAAAAACTGGACACATTTGCACATAGTCACCTACATTGCCATCTGACTTTTAGAACCCTGATACACTCTCTGGCTACCCTCCTTTCATTTGAAATAGGTAATACATTCACATGTTCCGGACGTCAAAATCAAAGTAAAATCCTACCGTAGGAAATCCTGCTCTCGTTCCTGCCCCTCACTGTGCTTCCACCACCAATACTGATAGCCATTTTAAGCAATTTCTCCATTATCCTTCAAGTGTTTATTTATGCAAATGTAAGACTCAAAACGCATATTATTATTTCTTCTGTTTAAGACGTGAAGACACAAAACCATTTTTAATGACCTGGTAGTACTTTACTGTCCAGAAAAAAATCTTAATTACGAGCCTATGTTAATTATTCACCTCTCAGCACAGGAGTGTGTTAAAACCAATGGCTGCAAATGAAATATGAAGCTTATATCTCTTGCTTTCAATTTATAAAGCCTCCTGCATTTTTCTTTCTTTCTGTGTGTATTTAAAAAATAAACAGCCTCCAAGGAACTTTTATTATGATGTGTTGCTATGAAGAAGATACTGCCGGTGCCCTGGCATTATGTGACATTTACGCAGCCAGACACGAGACCCTAACCTAACAGAAGAGGTCATGAGCACAGTTGGATGAGTGCCAAGAGGATAATTTCATCTTTTGAGATGCTTTAGCTTCGAAAGCGAATGATTCAGGCCTTGGAATTCAAAACAGACTTGGGAGTGTGGGTCACAGTAGCTTGAGATGTGCTCCGGGGTAGGCACAGCCCGCCCCCTGCCCAACACACACACACACACAACACACACATACACACTCCATGTGTACAGCTGTCGCTGGGTTTGGAAGCACTCATTGCCCAGTGCATTCCCTTGAGCTCTGGTCCAGTCTTTCCAGTGCCTTCGAAGTGGGGGTTGGGCTAAAGTCACAGGAGTTTTGAAGAAGACTTTGTAGACCCTTTTACAGATGAGCTGTGGAAGCCTAAACACATAGGTGACTTGCTTTACTGTCTGACCTTGAGCCAATTTATTAGCCTCCTTGAAGCCTCAGTTTCTTTATCTGTAAAATGGCCGGGGGGAATTATACTCACTTCACAGAGCCCCTGAGAGGCCCAATTGAGCTGGCATGTCTTATGGGCCTTCTGTGGAGGGCCAGACTGACCTGCAGATTCACGTGGGACCATGTGTCCCTGCTCTCTACTAATCATGGAAAACCCTCCAGGGTATGCAGACAGGCTTTTCCAGGCTCTGCAGGTTTGTCCATAGGGTATGGGCAGGATATATAGAGTGCTGTCTGCTCTGAGCAAAGATTTTTCTTTACATCTGCAGTGAATCTGCTCTTATGCCTTCTTATTGTTTTCATTGCCTGTCTCCAAACTGGTCTACTGCTGTTATCTCTGATAAGATGCCATAAAAAGTACTACAGACATGAACTTCAGAACTTACTGCCTGTACTTACAGATGGGAAACATAACCTGTTATGTTGCTGATGGAATTCACCCACAGTCATAAACCAAAATTAAAATCAGTATCTGGATAATCTCAGGGAAAGGGCCCACTTTTCATATACTTGTCTAAATAGGCTTCCAAGAATTTTTCTAACCTGGACTGAGGTTTCACATGGCTCCTTCTTTTCACTAGAGGGAAAAACAAGAAATCTCCATGATTTCTCTCCAGCATCGTCTATGCATGTAGGCAATATATGTTGATAAAACACTTTAAACCAGAGGTCAGCAAACTATGGCTCCAGTAGTCAAATCTGGCCTACGAGCTGCTTTTGCAAATAAAATGTTTTTAGAAAAAAGCCACGCTTATTTCTTTACATGCTTTCTATGACTATTTTGTACTTTATTAACACAGCCAAGTAGCTGCAACAGAGACCTTATGGACTTTATTATATGGCCCTTTAAAGAAAGTCCAAGTACTTTCCTGCACATCATCATACTCAGTTTTCACTTCAGCCTAACGAATTAGGTTAGCGGTTCCTAAACTTCCCTGGTTCACAGCACCTTTAGTGTCTCAGGGATTTTTTTTCACAGCCCCTAGGGCAAAAGAAATACCTAATGGCTCTTTATTACATCGGTCAAAACAACTTAAGTATTTATGCCCTGACCCCTAGGCACCTGTTGGCAGCACACCCTTTCAAATCTTAGGAGCATAGTGCCCCCATTTTCTGTTCCACTTTGACTGTCTTGGCACTTGCTTTTCATCAGGACAACAGAAACCTGCTTTGCAATGATATGCCATTGCAAGGAACCCAATGTTCTAGTTGGAACTGCTTCAGACTAGGGGTTCATGCAGCATCTGATAGGTGTCACAGGGCTGTCCTTGAAAATTTAAAAAATCTCCAGGGGTGTGCCCTTGCAAGTCCACCATGGCACTGGGGTGTCTCACGGGCAGTTGAGTATGATGGTCGCTAGTGACAGATGAGGAAAGACTGGAGAGGGAAAGTGACTTCTCTTGTTCATGCAGCTCAGGCAGGGCTCTTTCCGAGACAGGGCTCTCCTCCCACATGCTTGTCTGCCCAGAGAAGGCAGTGTGTCAGCCACAGAATTCCGCTTATTCCCAGGGTGACTTTCTGCATTGGTTTATTCTGGTCTCACATTTGACTCAGCCACTGCAACGCGTGCCTGCCTGTGTAAACTCACCTGGGAAGGAGTGGGGGCCTGTCTCCCCCAGGGACCCCCAAGTAGGGCTGGGATCGGGACCCGCTGATGCTCGCTTCCGCCCACTCCTAACCGCCCTGTCGTCTCCCCAGACCAGAGTCATCCTTCTGAACTGGTGCGCGTGGTTCCTGCGCATGAAGAGGCCAGGGGAGGACAAGGTGAGGCCGGCGTGCCAGCACAAGCCGCGCCGCTGCAGCCTGGCCAGTGTGGACATGAGCGCAGTGGCGGCACCGCCCACCACCAACGGCAACCTGCTCTACATCGGCTTCCGCGGCCTGGACGCTGTGCACTGCGCCCCCACCCCCGACTCCGGCGTCGTGTGCGGCCGCATGGCCTGCTCCCCCACGCACGACGAGCACCTCCTGCACGGCGGGCAGCCCTCCGAGGGGGACCCGGATCTGGCCAAGATCCTGGAGGAGGTCCGCTACATCGCCAACCGCTTCCGCTGTCAGGACGAGAGCGAGGTCATCTGCAGTGAGTGGAAATTTGCGGCCTGCGTGGTGGACCGCCTGTGTCTCATGGCCTTCTCCGTCTTCACCATCATCTGCACTATCGGCATCCTGATGTCAGCTCCAAACTTCGTCGAGGCTGTGTCCAAAGACTTTGCTTAACCTGGTCCTGGTTCCCAGCATGTAGGAAACGCACAGATGAGCGATGCCGTTGGCTTGGGGAGAACTTGGGGTGCTAATCCCACAGCCATACTCGACGTGAGGACGCTGATGTACCCGTAGCGCTCGCTGCCAGTCATGTCCGTTATAGTTTCCTTGTTACTTTCCGTAATAGGATCTCCGCACGGTTTTGTTTAATCCTCTCAGATGGGCTGCTTGATATTCTGGGAACATCCTTAGGGTCACCAGGACCACTGAGAGGTCATTTTGCCCATTTCCGAATGCCTGGTGAGCCCTTCAGAGAGGTGAGGGTGGCTCAGGACTGCCAGGGGAGGCCTGTACAGTTGGTTTTGCATGCGTGCATGTCACTTGCCAAGAAGACCTACTGAAACTTCAACATAAGCTTTTGCCTCTTTACAAACCTAGATTGAAAGTAATAATAATAGTAATAAACCACACTCACTAGATCCATTCAAATAATTGGTAAAAGGACACACAACTAAAACTAAAAACCTAACTGCTGGTTTTTCCGTGATTCAGGTTTTATTTTTCTCTGCCAAAGATGGTAGGGAGAAACAATTTTACACTGTTCCTACATTTTATAACAGAGAGAGAGACATAGTTGGTCTTGTAAATTATGCTTTTACCAGCTTGATTTCTGCCAACCTACCCTGTGGTGGGAATCAGGAGGTACACGGATGTGTGTTGATTCTGAACTAGGACCAGACCTGCACAAGTTAGGGGGATTTCTGTAGATACAAGGTGACTCCCAAACTTCCTGTGCTGCCCTCAGACATTGGGGAGTGGAGTTTGCTCTATTCTGAAAAACCCAAAGGACAAATAGAGTTCTATTAGAATTACCAGCCCAATGTAATAGCTAAAGTTAAATTAAGCCAGCTGTGTGTGTGTGTGTGTGTGTGTGTGTGTGTGTTTAATAATGCATTAAATGTTTCTCGTGTACTAGAGTTGATTAGTCTTAGAAACTTGTGGGTCCGTACAAATGCACAACATAAAGTGAAAGTATGCTAGGCTTTTCCTTATGTCTCAAGGCCAAAGATCAGGATCTGGGACCTCTTCTGGTTCCTTGTATGGCAGGAAAGGGGATGATGTGGCCAGTGGCTTTCCTGGACACAAGGCCAGTGGAAGTCAGCAGGAGGGGCTGACGGGCTGAGGGTGGCTACACACCCAGTAACTCCAGTCTCTGGCATTTAGGGATCTGCTTTCCCACAGCTCAATGACCCCAGCGTTAGCCCAGAAAGGTGGCTCAAACAGGTAGATTCCCTGGAGATAAGCATTTTGAAAGCAAGGGAAACTTTCATTTTAAACCTGTGTGATGACACAGTTCTCCACTTACATTATCTAGCTGACAATGGTCACCCTGCCTGTTCCTGTTCTCCTTTTTTTAATGCGATCAGAGGGAGACAACAAAATCTCTCCTGTTCTGTTGTTTCGTCTAGTAACAGATCCGAGCTCAAAACTGCAGAAGGCTTTGAGCTCCTGGGGATCTTTAATTTGCTTCTAACCCCTGAGATGGGTATATTATGGGGAGAAGATTAGATTTTCAGAGCAAAAGAAATTGCATACCTTTCTCCGGCCATTTATTTTACTCATTTCTGGGTAATGCACATGGATTTGTCTGCACTGAGGAGAATGGAGGCTTGTGCATGCTCCATGTGTGGGGGTGTGTGAGCGCTGAGTGTGCAGCTGCAGGGGGACACCTTGTTTAGGACAAGAAGGTTGATAAGTAAGCGCATTCTAGCTAATATCACGCCATTTGGAGCAAGGTTGTCCTCGGAGTTCAGCCATTCTACATGGGATGGATGAACAATGCACAATCTGTTCTTTCTCTCTCTCTTTTTTCTATTGTAGACACAAGTAGAAGTGTTTTGATATATCAGAGAATGCTTCATTTCTTATTGCTACCTGAAAATTAACCCCATAACACTTTTGCTTAGAAAAAAAAACTTTTTTGATTTTGTATTTTATACAGAAAAACATAAAAAAGCAAACAAAAGTAGTTTATATGTTGACCATTCGACTAATACTCTGCCATTTAAAAAGTAATAATAAGGAAAAGATGCACATGTAGTAAGAAAGGCATGGATAACTACAGAGACCACTGGTGAATGAGCTTCTGAGGGCTGGGGGACATTTCCAGAAAGGAAGAAAATGAAAGGGAGGGAGGCCAGGAGGGGGAGGAAGGGGGCATGGAGAGAGACTCCTTTGCTACCACTCATGATATGCACAGCACTCTGCACTTTGCTTTCTGCGATTAGTATTTCATCTTTCCATAACAACATATAAAGATCTACCTCATTCTTCTTAATAGCTGCTTAGCATTCCATTGTCTTGGTGGATATAATTTCTTTGGTTAATCTATTAATGAACATATAGAGTATTTCCAGTTTTTATTTTTATACACAAATCTGTAGTTAGCAACCTTGATTTATACTTTAGGATACGTTTTTGACCATATCTTGGTATAAATTCTAAGTGGGAAATGGGAATTGCTGGATTTAAGGCCATGTGCATTTAACATTTTGGTAGATATTGCCAGATTACCCTCCAAACACCGATCAATGGATATACCTACCAAGAATATAAAGAAAAGGCAGGTTTCTCAACTTTCTCAGTACTGGGTATTGTTAAACTTCATATATATTTTTTCCAATCTGGTAAAAATTATATTGCAATGTTATTCTGATTTAGTTCATTTTATTATGAATGAAGTTAAGTATTTTTCAGATATTTTTCAGAAATTTCAATTTTTGTAAATTTATGTCCTTTACATAATTTTGGGTTATTTGGCTTTTTCTTAATTAATTTTAGCCTGTGTACTTTGGAACTTCCCTGTCTTATATCTTGAAAATATTCTTATTTGTTTAGAAAATATTTTTGTTTATTGTCTTTTGATGTTATTTATTGATTTATTTCTTAGCATATAGAAGGTTTAAAGTTTTATGTTGTCAATTTATCCATATCTGCCTTGGTAGATCCTGGGATTTGTTTCCAGTTCTAAAAGGCCTTTCCCCATTCTGAGATTATAAATAAATTTACTCATATTTTTTTCTAAATTTTTATGGTTTCATTTGCTTACATCTTCTAACTCCCTGGAATTCATTTACTGCAGGAAATGAAGGTAAAAATGAAATTTTTTTCTCTCCAAATGGTCAGTTGTGCCAACAAAATATATAATAGTGTATCCCTGTAATACAGTTAGTCTTTTCCCCATTTTGTTCAGAATGCCTCCCTGTTTGTAAACTAAATTCCTGTTAAGTGTTTTGGGGCTATTTATACTTATTGGTTTGTCTCTCTGTGAATGTCTTTCATTTCTGGAAGCTCTATTCATGTTAATATCAAATATTCATATATTAATATTTTCAAGTTAACCATCCCCTTAACACTTTTTTGCCTCTCCCTTCCCCCCTTCCTCTCTCTTCTCTATTTCCCTCTCCCATACATATATTTTTAATTTAAATTCAATTAGCCAACATATAGTACATCATTAGTTTCAGATGTAGAGTTCAGTGATTCATCAGTTGCATATAGCACCCAGTGCTCATCACATCATGTGCCCCCCCTAGCGCCCATCACCCAGTAACTCCATCTCCCACCCACTTCCCCTCCAGCAACCCTCAGTTTATTTCCTATAGTTAAGAGTCTCATGGTTTGTCTCCCTCATTGAAGTCACAGTGAATTTATATGAGTCTTCCTATTCAAGAGTGCTGCAGCCTAGGCTTGTGTTCAAATCTTATCTTACGCTGCTTGGTAGATTTTTATGGTTTTGTTCAGATAGGTCCTATGAATTTCTTGTCTAGTTCTAGATAGTTTACGATTTGGCTACCATTTTCAATGGGATATTTCTTCCATTTTATTTGCTAACTGGATGTATAGGAATATAGTTGATTTTGTGTATTAATGTCTTAATCAATCACTTTAATTGTATTTTCTTATTGTTTCTAAGATTTTCTTTTGCCTTCTCCTTTCCAATAATTTCCCTTATTTCTATCCCTTAGGCAATTGCACTTGAGAACAGTATCAAATAATAGTGATTCAGGTGGCATACCTATCTTGTTCCTGACATTAATGGGATGGTTCAATGTCTCACTATTCAACTTGTATTAAGACATGTATTTTCCTTGTCATAATAAAAAAGTATCCATGTATTCTGCAACTATTAAGGCTTTCTGGGGAAAATGTAGATGTTAGATTATTGTCACAGCCTCTCAGTATCCATGGAGATGATCAGAAGGTTTTCCCCTTTGCTCTAGTAGTATGTTGTATTATATTAATAGATTCCTTAAGACCAAACCACTGTTAGGGTCCTGAGATGATCCCTACTTGTGATTTCCCCTATTAATATTGATAATTGAGATTAATCATTCTGCCATTTGCTTTTGTGTGCTAAACAAAAATCTCTATATTCTGCAACCGGTTACGTGGTTTTAGAATCATCTTCTTAAGTGTAAAAGAACTCACCTGGGGGCTGCCTGGGCATCCACTGGTATGTTTCTGAATTCCTCCCTTTGGGAAGGTTAGGCCCTCAAGCACTTCTGGAGTAAACTTTAGTTACATATTTTTAAGAAAATTAATGACAATCCATTTTTTTAAACATATTTGTACAGTTTTTACAATACGGGCACTTAGGATTTCTTAATTTCCTCTGTATTGGTGGCTACTTCTCAGTTTTCCATTTCTAATTGTGTACGTTTCTCCTTTCTTCTGTTTTTATTGATATGGCTCGCCAAGGATTTTGTTTTTGTATTTTCAGACACCAAACCCTTAGACTTTTTCATCAGTTTGGGGAACTGGCTGCAGCCCCTGTTGGCTTTGTGCTGACCTGACTTGTCCTGGGATAGCTTGCACCCTGTGCAGGGAGAGCCGCAGTGGGGAGGAGCCACCTTCCCCACTGGCTTCTGGGGCCATGACAGGAGTTTCACTTGGCAGCGGGAGCTAGAGGGTCAAACCAGGCCAGGCAGCACAGATGTGGCACACGTGACTAG